AGTAGAGTAGTGGGAGTTAGATAAACAGAGAATATGAGAATGAGGAAAGTGGGTGTAAGAGAGTGAGTGAGATAGAAAGAGAAAGAGAGAGTGAGAGAATAAAAAATAGAATGAAAGCATAGAGAGCAGAGGGAGAGTGCATGATAGCGGTATAGAGAGTAAGAGTGAGAAAGTGCGTGAAGGGATATATAAAAGAGGTGGAGTGATTGATTGATAGGTAGTTTTATTTATTTGTTAGGTCTCTTAGATCTTTGTTACATTAAACGTGAGAGTGTCAGTGTGACAGAGATAGAGACAGAAAGACAACAGAAGAGCACTGGACAGTTATACGTACATAAAAAGGCTGATACAAAGTAAAAAGGAAGAAAAACTACGAGACAAAAGGGAACAAGCGAAGAAGTGAAATAATAAGGAACAATCTCAAAATCCTAACGGCAAACGAAAACTACATCAACCCTTCGACATTTTTACCGCCTCTTCTATTTTTATTAGTACATAAACATTTTATGCATGTTTTAATGTATTTTTAAATATCTTCATCTAGCCAATACTAACGACAACAAACAATTGTCGTAAATTATTACAATTTTTTAAATCGTTGGTAGAAAATAATGATTTGTTTTGCCTACTTTTGCTTTTTATTGGTCACTACGTTTTGTTAATTAATTTAATGCTAAAATAAATTAACCAAACAAATATGGTAATTAAATATATCTCTTAACAGAAACAACGCGCTATGAGATTAATTTAATAAGTTGTCAAAATGGAAAATTGATGGACAGTTAGCAATTTTGATTGTTTATGTATGATATTTACGACTATTTTATGGAAATTATCAACTTTTGTCTGCGGGTTCTATATATATCTTGTTGAACTATAGACAAATTGGATCGAGGATTGACGCACTAGATGACAAATTTCGATGTGAATAATTAATTTGCAAAATAATATTATTATTGGGAACAAAAAGTTTTAGAAGGGGGCGGCGGTGGCCGCAACGTTTGACACGGCGCTCATCACTGTAAAGTAAAGGTCCCGGGTTCGAATCCAGCGGCCCTGCATTCGAACTCGACTTTCTTACAAATGGGCTTTTTTTGAAAAACACCGGCACCCCGAGGTTGATATAACCTCTGCTGTTGCGAAACCTCGTAAAAAAAAGTAAAAGAGATGGAGAAAGTAGCAGTACGATGTAGATTTAATTGCACATCAATTTATCGTTGAGTGCAAAAGGTTTGTCAATTTTTACAGCCTGAAATTTGTCTTAATTTTCATTTCATAATGATGTTAATAAATAAATTGACGACATAAATTAAATGACTCTTACAATTATCAGAACAGCAAATTATCTCGACTAAAGTAAATTACCGCCCATCGTTTATAAGTCGCATTGGCAGGCGTTGAAAATGGCTGTAATTGATTTTTACTTGAGCTGTTTCTACGAGCAACTTCACCCAATGAACCTTCTCAGCAGATTTTTTACATGGGCCTAATGGAGTAGTTATACCGATGTAAGTTTACATTCGTAAAGTCCGTTTCCAGGAATAACAAAGCAACTGGCGTGCGGTCGTAAAGAAATATTCTCAACGATGTCGTATGTCATCCGAAGAGTATTAAAGCTTATTACTTAGGGCTCTATTTTTTCATACACGTGAGTCTTCGTGTTGTACGAGGATGACATTCATCCACATGTTTTATCGGTTGCAATGCGAGACGCTAACGGCCCCCTTTTGAAATATCATATGCCATAACAGCCGAGATCCATAGTGCCTCCGGGTTTTGAATTTTATGCCCAACGGAAAGAGTTTAAACGCACGCGTCCTTAAGTCGAATGGGAGGGTTTTGTTTGCAAGCCAACTGCGTGCAAATTATGCAGGGATCTGACATAAATTTGCATATGGGATTTAAATTGCGTACATTTCTTTATTGAATAAAAAATTGTAGTTATTTATCATTTACTGAATGTTATTTTTTCCACTAATAAATAATTTATGAAAGAATGAATAATTAGGTGCGTTGTAGAGAATATCGCAAAAATACTGTTAATCATATATAATTTAATACATATATCTTAAAATCTCAAAAGTACTAATTAATTCTTGTAAAATATACATTAAACTATTTTCATCACACCGTCAATTGTGAATATGTAAAAGTCTGTAATAATAATTTAACCAAGATAAATGTCTGATCATGTTTTAACTTACATCAGTAAAACTGAATACAGGTTGTCCCATGAGCAGAAGTCAACAACTCAGGAAGTTATCACAATTCAAAATGGTGTCAAAAGTCCTTATTGTTCAAATTCTGATTCTCAATTGTGTTCGAGATATTTGGCTTTTTTTACTGCTTACTTTACTTACAATTTTTCTTCAATTTTTCACAGTTTTATCTCATAGTATGTCGTATCTCACATACTGTAGTTATTAGTATAAATTTGGTCACTCTAATAAAATGTGCGTTAAATATCCTTTCAGATTAATTAATTTTTCTAATCGTATCAATTAATGCAAGTTTACAAAGTGCTTGCCTAAAATTTTGAAAAAAATTTCACGAAACTGTTGATGCTGACTGACATGGCGCTTAAAGAATACTTTATAATTTCTAAACGTCAATTATAACCAA